CCACTCAATGTACATATATACAAAGTTTCAAAGCAAGGAGGCTTGACTTTTTAAGACAAAGTCGTAAATGATGATGACAAAGGAGAATGGTTGATAACAGAGAAACAGTAACATGAACACCTATGCTCTGTTGACTTTGTCGACAACGGAGCAAAAAAAAATATTTATTTTCTCCTAGCCTCTTATCACTGAAACTGTATGTTCAACAAGCATTTAAAAATACTTGGCCCAATGTATATGTTCATTTATACACGACCAAGATCCAGTTTGGGAATGGCAGAAATGCTCGAGTTGATGAATAACAAAATGACCGTCAATCAGCTATTTTGAATCAGATTGTGAAATAAAAGCACATACATGTATCTCAAGATGTGTTATTTGTATGTGTACAGTTTGAAAACAATTAGCACAAGCATATCCAAGATGCAGGTTGGGATACCTGCATAGATAGATGTATGGACGAACACATGAGGGTAAATGCATCTAAATGAGAAGTCATAAAGATAAATGATTCTTTAAATATTTTATGAAAAGGCAAAGCCAGCTTGGGGTAGAGTGTACTGTAAATTCCCCCATCATTTTTATTACTAGCAAAAACCAGAGTGATTTGAGATGGATCATTTCAATAAAGGCTGAAACCACAATAATTGTTATTACATTATTCACAATAAATCATAAACTAAACTAAGCCTCAACGTCCAATAGTATTAATTGAGAAGCACAAGGATAAATTTGGATCAACAGGAAAAAAGGACCTAATAACGATTGGACAGACAGGCAACAAGCAACCTGTTGTTAATTAAAATGGAGTTCTGCCTATACCTCTTCTCTTAGAGGGCAGCCTGCACTTTGCTTTGATTAATTCAAATACCCATAAGCACATTAAATTAGCAATTTAACTAAGTTGTTGGTTACATAAGCATAACAACCAATGGAAGATATGTAGTCTGTGACATATACTGGTTCAATTCATTTGCTACTTTTTGTAATATTTACCTTAAACCATGGTCTCTGATTGAAAGTAATGTGCAGGTTTATTTTGTCAGACATTAAATATAAACATTTATATAGATGAAAACAAACACCATGTGTTCTTGATAATTTTGTGGAAATGACAAGTTGGGCTGAATCAGCAAACAGCCCACAGCGTCCTCTACAGCCTATAGGAAAGCAGCTTATGGGTATTCTCTGTAAAATCCATTAGTTTCCCTTTATGTCTGCAGTCATCACTTTTTAATTGATTGCCAAAAAGGCTAACCTTTGGAGGACAAGCAGGACACAAGTATGGAGTGAAACCTAATTCCTGCAGTTTCTATTGATTTATATTCTTTTGGTATTTACATTTGCTTGGTAATTCTATAGAAGTAGAGTAGATCCAACTTATGGCCCCAAGAAGCAAATTATAGCAATTAAGTCAGT